TTTTAAAGGCTGGGTTTCTTTAGTTGGAAATTTCCTACAAGGAAAGGAGATGCCTGCACTACACCTGAAAAGTAGTCTATTTCAAAGAGACCATTTTTCTAAAGACTATCGGGGCACTATGGACAAGGCCATCTCAGTCTGGCTCTGGAACTGGCCAGACCTCATCCATAACAATTAAATTCACAGAGGGCCTTTTTCCAATGAGTTTCAGCATCTCTTAGCCAGTGAAAGTACTCAGTTTTTCTCTCACCATATCCCTGAGAAAGAAGTGCGAGGTGAATTTTATTTCCATGTTATAGATGGAAAACTGAGGCTTTAAAACACTACTCTTGCTTGCAGTTCCTCCAATAGTAGAACATAAAAAGTTGTAGCAGAGATCTTCTGGTTTAAACTCTCCAAAATCACTAAGGATGACAAACATGGCACCTGTACTGCCACTCTCCCTGCCGATGCCCAGGACACACAGTTAAAAGTGTGGTACTCTTTCCACCTGAACCCAGACTCAACTGCAGACTCCTTCTCAAGTACACAATGCTCTAAGCAGTTACTCCGATCAGTAGATGCTGGTCTAGGGGAGCAAAGGTGAAAAACATTTACTACTTATACAGCAGAAAAGAGTAAGGTTAAGAATTCACTGACTTCCTTCACTTGTTTCAGGTACAGGTTATGCTAGAAGATATAAAGGTAATAGAGTTCTTCTTGGTTTTTCATGGCCCTGGTTGAACATTTTGTCTTAGGCCAAATCCAAAAGTTAAAACACAGATCACAATTAACACCCAGGTTTCAACCATTTTCTCCTTCAGGGCAAGAAGTTCTTTCTAATTTAGATTTATATGTAGGGGAGTATCTGCGTAACTCCTTCAGAGTTTTTGCCTGTAGGTTCTGGAATAAAAAGGACAAGTTCAAGTTTAGTTCAAGGGACAAGGACAAGGACAAGTTTGAGAAGCTGAAAGAAAGCCAGTGTGACCAAAGCACAGAGACTCTCAGCTTTACCTAGCAAAGGTGGATGAGAATTCACATGAAAAAGACTTAAGACAACCAAGTTTTTCAGTCAAGAGGATGCTATAAATTTATGCATGTAATGCCTACACCTTTCCTCCTGTAGAAACAATATTTAAAGTTATAAAGATGTAGGGTTTTTTTTCTTTTTTTTTTTTCAATAACAAACAAGATTGAATGTCAGCGATAAGAAATGGAATAGAAACACAAAACATACTACAGACAGGTGTCCAGGAGTCTTGTATCTGTGGGCTAATGGGGCTAAAAATGTCCCCTGGAAAACGCTAGAAACGAGAGTGAGGGTCACTGTTGAAAATCAGAGAATGTGGAGGGTAAAGCCTTCACATCACAATAAAAAGGGGCTTTTAAAAGCTGCTTACCCAAGGAGGTGGAAGGAAGCAGACACAATCTCACAACCAAGACCTGTCTGCTGGCCTGGGGATGACTCTTTGATATTCTAACATCATCTTGGAACAGAAGTCCCAACTGCAAATATAAGACTTGTCTCTGGACTGGCTCCTTGAAGGGAGGAAGTAGACAACAGCAAGTTCCTAGGTAGGGCAGGATGAGTGCACATAAGCAATGTGGAAAAAGCAAACTCAAGATGAAGGTGAAAACTGTAATCCAAAGCACATGAGGAAAGGTAGTGCTGAGAACCAAAACCCAACCCACTGCCATCGAGTTGACTCTGATCCATAGTGACCCTATAGAACAGAGTAGAACTGCCCCATAGGGCTTCCAAGGCTGTAAATCTTTATGGAAGCAGACTGCCTCATCTTTCTCTCACAGAGCAGCTGTTGTGTTGTTGTTGTTGTTGTTGTTAGGTGCCGTCAAGTCGGACCTGACTCATAGCGACCCCTCCTTGGGTTTTCGAGGCAGTATCACTACAGAAGTAGATTGCCCCATCTTCCTTCTGAGGAGTGGCTGGTGGAGCAGCTGGTGGGTTCAAACAGCCAGCCTTTTGGTTAGCAGCCAAATGCTTTAACCACTACACCACCAGAGCTCCTAAGTGCTAAAAAAGCTGGCCAATAAAATCAACATCAGATTAAATGAAAAGAATAGAGAAATGTGAAAATGACTTTAAAAAATTGTGTTCATAAAAATATGTATGTTTGTGATCTGCAAAGAGATAACAGAAGGAAATAATCCACTGTGGAATATATTCTTTGTAGTAATTGAAAAGAATTAACTGGTGCTTTAAAAATAAGGTGGTGTCTTAGTCATCTAGTGCTGCCACAATAGAAATACCACAAGCAGATAGCTTTAACAAATCAATTTATTTTGCCACAGTTTTGGAGGTTAGAAGGGCACTAGCTCCAAGGGAGGGCTTTCTCTCTGTTGGCTCTCGGGAAAGATGCTTATCTCCTTTCAACTTCTGTGGGCCTGTTGTTCCTTGGTGACCTCTGTGTGTTGTGACATCAACCTTCCTCTGGGTCTAAGAGGTTCTCAGTCCTGGGACCCCAGGTCCAAAGAATGCATTCAACTCCAAGCTTTCTTTCCTGGTTGTAGTCAGGTCCCTCTGACCGTTGCTTGCTGATTTAATCTCTTTTGTATCTCACAAGAGAATGACTCAAAATGCAACTTAATCCTGTAGATTATATCCTGGCCCATTAACATAACTGTCTTTAATCCTGCCTCATTAACAACATAGAGGTTAGGATTTATAACACATAGGATAATTACATCAGATCACAAAATGGAGGATAATATTATGTAATTACATAATACTGAGACTCATGGCCTAGCCAAGTTGACACATATTTTGAGGGGACCCAATTCGTTCCATAACATTTAAAACTCAAAAACACTCACTGCTGTCGAGTCGGATCTGACCCAGTGACCTCTCCTTGGGTTTCTGAGGCAGTATCACTACAGAAATAAATTGCCCAACCTTCGTTCTGAGGAGTGGCTGGGGGGTTTGAACCACCAACCTGGTTAGTAGTCAAATGCCTTAGGCACTACGCCACCAAAGCCTCTGTAAATTAAATTTCTTATAACATACATATTGAAGTTTTAAATGTTTAACCTGCACTTTCCAATGAAGTAACTGGAACCTAGTGTGATGACTATATTTAGCAAGACACTACTAGATACAAGGTCCCAGCACCTATTAGCACATATAGAGACTGAAGACAATCTTGGGCCCAAATGGAATGACACAGTGGACATGGATTGTCAAGATAGAAAACATGATAGAATAAATGAATAGTCCTAGAAAACAAGGGCTTTATTAGTAAATTCAGGCTAAAATTAGAATTAACTTATTAAATTTTTCAGCTTTTCTGTCATAAGGAAAGATAAGTATTTACATTTATTAAACAAGATTATATGCATATTGACATGGGAAATCCTAAATAAAAAGATGACCATTTGATGAATGAATAAATGACTAAATGATTGCCCATCTGAAGACATGAAAAAGTTTAAGCATCAAGCACATTCCTCTTGCCTTTTATGATATACTTGAACACTCTCTCAAAAACAAAAAGCTATGAGAAAAGCAAACCAATCAATTTCAAATAATTGTTTCTATAGTATTAAACTGAAAAATTCACTAAGCTGCTCCAATTCCTATAGTATTATGAGCACTTGCTACTCCTGTCCTCTCTCTTTATCAAAGAAGAACATTTGTTGCTTCCACGTGCTAAGAGGGAAGGGGAAATCACATGTTCTGCTCTAATCCCAACCAGAATTCCTTCAGCATTGGGCTTATGGAAAGAAATAGCCCCATAAATATGCCACATCAAAATCTATAAGAGAAAGCTGGCAAAGAGGGTGAATATTGCTACCCTCATGGAAACAGAACTCCCAGGGAGCCATAATGCATGGATGCTAATTAGTCTTTTTTTTTTAAGAGCCAGAAGGAAGTGATTATAGTTCTGAAAAAGTTCTCCTTCCTCATCTATCATGGGAGATCTTAGAGGGGTCCTCAAGTATCAGGCCTGTAGCAAAGTTTGATTTGTTTAGAATCACAGATTATAATGACACGACATGGTGTTGTGAGGTGGCCAGCTCCCTGTCCCAGGCAACATTCAGAGAGCCCTGTGATGATGTGTCACAAATGTGTGCACATGCCTGAGGTGGGAGGCTGCTTGATGGTTGCTTCCAAACCTGAAACCAAGGGGAGAATTCTTAGGCTAGTGCTTCCCAGGGGGAAAGGCAATGCCAGCACAGCCAGCACGTACTGAAAAGGCTCAGAGACCACTTGGGTTGTAACTCCACAGCTTTTTGACAGCCCACTCCCTCTCTACCTAACTGTAGGAGGAAGAATTATAATGATTAACGTGCATTTACTACCATTGATCTACAACCAGCTAATTCTGCCAGCAGAAGTTTATTTAAAAGGAAACCAAGACACAACATATAATTAACTCAAGTTATTTAGGAATTAATTATTCAAGTCCTTTGATTCCTTTCTTTCTTCCTATTTAACTCCTTTTGGCCATTTTTCTATTGACTAGGTTCTCTCATCCATAAGGAAAATGAAGCAAGCAAAACTCAAAGTTATTAGGAGGGCAATCCATGATTAGAAGTGGTCCTAAAAGGTTAGATGAGGGGCAAGAAGAGGTGAGAAAAAGTGATTTTTTATTCGTTTGTTTTGGTTAGGAAGAAACCATGGGTTCTGCAGACAAATTGGCTGAGCTTTGGTTTCCTCTTCTGACACTTACTAGCTGTGTGCCCTGGGACAAGTAACTAGGTCAGTCTGAGTCAGCTTCCTCATGGGAAAAATAGGGATATTAATATCTATGTTGAAAAGTGTTTGCAAGGATTTTATAAAATAATACAAAGAGCCAAATATAGCACGTTTCACCTGGTAGGCACTCAAGCTGCACTATTAAAATTATCTAGAATTTACTCTTTTCATATAATTAAGATATGACTGTGAACAAATGCTCTTAAACTGAGATGCAGTATTTCCCAAGTAAATGTGCATGTTTCAGTCTGTAAACTTCTTGGTGATTTAAATTTGCATTTTAAAATTTATGTGAGTCAAACTTTACCTGTCGGCTTCCTTGCTTGGAGGAACAGCTACTTGTGCTCCTTGAAGGTGAAACCAATTTTTGGGATACTCCAAGGTTCTTCTCATCACTCATCATGAGCAGCTGGTCACTTGGCCTCAATGCAGTCAAAATGCCATCAGAAATCAGAGGAGCCGAAAGAGAGTATGGCGGTTCCTCACAGGCAGGTGGCTCAGCTCTCAGTCAGTATGATACAAAATCATCCTGGGTGACCCAGAGGAAACCCTTAAAACCAAAAGAAAAGAAGAGAGAGAAGGTCAGAGGCTTCAGACATCATCTATAATTAACCAGTGATCGTTTGCAGATAGCTAATCCACTCTACAGATTATAGTGCCAAGATGCATTAGGGGCTGTGCAGGGGGGAAATAAACCTTCACAGTTCTTTTTGGAAATCATGTTCAGGTGGTTTTCCTTGTAGCTTTGCAATACAACAGGCTTAAGGATGTTGAGAAAATTTGAGTCCAGACACAAACAAAATCAATACTATAAAAACCACCCCAAACCAGAATTCCATTTCATACCCATTAGGATGCTGTAATAAACAACAACAGTAACAAAAAAGAAAAGAACAAGAGTTGGCTAGGATGTGAAAAAATTGGAACCATCTTGCATTGCTGATAGCCAAAAAACCAAACCCATTGCCATCAAGTAGATTCTGACTCATAGTGACCCTACAGAACTATGCAAAACTGCCCCGAGGGTGTCCAAGGCTGTAATCCTTACAGAAGCAGACTGCCACATACATCTTTCTCCCACAGAGCAACTGGTGGGTTTGAATCGCCGATCTTTTGGTTAGCAGCTGAGTGCTTAACCACTGCACCACCACGGCTCCTTAACGTAACACCAAAACCAAAACCCACTGCCACTGGGTCAATTCTGACTCATAGCAACCTCAGAGAGTTTCCAAGGCTGTAAAATCTTTATGGAAGCAAACTGCCTCATCTTTCTCCCACAGAGCAGGGGAGGTCCTTAATCCATTTTGAATTTGTTTTTATGTATGGTATAAGGCATGAATCCTATTTCATTTTCTGCAAGTGGAGATACAGTTTTTCCAGCACCATTTATTGAAAAGACTCTTCTTTTCCCCTAATGAATGGACTTAGCACCCTTGTTAAAAATCAGTTGACCATAGGTATGTGAATTTATTTCTGGGACTTTCAATTCTGTTCCATTAGTCTATGTGTCTGTTGGTATAGCAGTACTAGACTTCTGATTACTGTAGCTGGGGAGTATGTTTGTTTATTTTTAGATGGTATGTTTTAAAATCAGGAAGTCTGACTCCTTCTACTTTGTTCTTCTCTTTCAACATTTCATTAGTTATTTGGGGCCTCTAACCATTCCATATAAAGTTGAGAATTGTTTTGTCTATTTTTACAAAGAAGGCTGTTGGAATTTTGATCAGGGTTACATTCAATCTATAGATTGCTTTGGGTAGTATTGACATCTTAACAATATTAAGTCTTCCAATCCATGAATATGGAACCTATTTCCATTTATTTAAGTCTTCTTTAATCTTTTTCACCAGTGTTTTGTAGTTTTTATTGTGTAAGTCCTTCACATCCCTGCTTAGATTTATTCCCAATTTCCCTTTCAGATTTCTCCTAGCTGGTGGATAGAAACCCAACTGATGTTTGTTTTGATCTTATACCCTGCTAATTTTGCTAAATTCCTCTATTGGCTCTAGAAGTTTTCTGTGGACTCTTTGGGATTTTCTACATATAATAAGCTCATATCATCCACAGTTAGAGATTATTTTATTTCTTCTTTCTCAATCTGGATGCCTTTTTTTTCTTTTTCTTGTCTTATTGCCCTGGCTAAGACTTCTAATACAATGTCGAATAGAACTGGTGAGTGAGTAGCACCCTTGTCTCATTCCCAATTCCATGGGGAATGCTCTCAGTCTTTCTTCATTAGGTATACATGTTGACTGTTGGCTTTCATATATGCCCTGAATCATATTGATTCATAATGCCTTGAGCATTCTGCTCTTTTAAGAACTATGTATATGGGATCAAATTGACAACAGCAACTTGAAGGATTAGACAGGCATCTAAGAGGGCAATAAGTTTATGTTAATGAGGGAGGAACAAGTCAGAAAAGGAGGGTGGGAACAGTCATACAACATACAGAATGTAATGAATGTCACTGCACTGTACATGTAGAGGCTGTTGAATTGGTTATATTTTGCCTGTATATTCTCAACAACGACAAAATAAATAAAATTTAAGGGGGAAAATGATTATGTTAAAACCATAAACCAAGACCAACCAATGAAAAGAAATATTAAAATCTCAGAAAATCAAAGTACTTGTAGCCATAGAACTAAATTTCAATGTTACTTTCATATAAACTCCCCAAATCTCTGTATTCATTCTGTATTGGATCAAACAATAACTAAAACTATCAGCAAAGCAATACCAGCCTCTTTATAAAGTTAGCTTTACTTATGTGTGTATGACTAATGGTATCTTAAGTTAGAAGCAAATCTAATTCAGTTAAAAATTGCCAACTGAGGCCATAAAGACTTTTTTTTTTTAACACTGTTTGTTTAATAACAGCGCTGGCTGTTGCTGTTTGAGAAAGGAAAAAAACCCCATGGGAACTCCAAAGGATGAAATGCAGGTGGGGGCATCTGTTGCCATGGCAACACATTCCACCCTGGATTAGGAACACCAACAAAGAGTTTCTGTTTGTGTGAGCAAGTATTGTTCCTTTGTTAAGGCTCAGGTTCTGACAACTGAGAGTATTGGATGAGAGGTAGAGTGTAAAATGTGAAGAAGGGAGAGAAAAGGGCACTTGGGCAATAAAATGAGCGCCCTAAGAATTCTGACACTGGGCCAAATTAGAGGCAACCGATATGAAGAATCACCTTTATCTCTTAACCCTGCCAGATTTCACTCCTGAGGTCACAGCTACGAGAGTGAGGACTGTTAGTAGGCCAAATCTGGTATTTATCTAAATTGGCACAAAGAGTTAAGGCCTCTGCAAGCACCACCCCAAGTTCTTTTCCCCATTCAAGGAAAAGAAATGGTAGAAAATCTATAGCCCCTCCCACACACATCCCAGGGCTGCACTAAGACTGTTGCCTAGGAATATATAACTGTTCCATCCCCCAGAGCCTTCCTGATAGCCTCATTAGAAATTTGATTAAAATTACCAAAACCAAAAACCAAACCCACTGCCACTGAGTTGATTCCGACTCACAATGATCCCCACTGGGTTTCCGAGGCGGTAAATCTTTAGGGAAGCAGATTGCCCAGTCTTGCTTCCACAGAGTGGCTGGTGGGTTTAAACCACTATCCTTCTGGTTAGCAGGCAGATGCCTTAGGTACTGTGTTACCAGAGCTCTTAAAAGCGAAAAGACGTCAAATTTCTACTCTGACTCATAGAGACCCTCATTGCTTTTCCAAGGCTGTAAATCTTTAAGGAAGCAGATTGCCTTATCTTCCTCTCAGGCAGTAGTAGCTGGTGGGTTTGAACCACCAACCCTCTAGTTAGCAGCCAAATGCCTTACCCACTATGCTACCACAGCTCTTGAGTTCCACCCTAGGACACTGCAAATAGTGAACACACTGCTAACTGAAAGGTTGGAGGTTCAAGTCCACCCAGAGGCACCTTGGAAGAAAGGTCTGGAGATCTACTTCAGAAATATTAGACATTGATAACCCTATGGATCACAGTCCTACTCTGACACACATGGGATCATCATGACTAAGAGTTAACTCCACGGCAACTGGTTTAGGGGACTCCATAGGGCTGGGCTGGGACATCCCAGGACACTTAATAGCACCAGAGGAAAGACCTTGGCAGGAGTCCTAGGACAGAGGGCCTCAGCAGAGCAGATTCACACCAAAGTCTGGTATCTTCTACTCCAACTAGGTGAGTTTACTATGTTGACCTCATGGAAATGATAAAGATAAATCCTTTAACGAGAGGTTATTGGGTCAGGGGCCAGAGCTTTTTAGGGGTCTATGAGATGAGGAGCAGGCACATATGAAAGACACTTCCACCCCTCCCGGTGACCTTCCATGGAAAACCTCCCAAGGGGTTTACCAGTTCGAACAATATAAAATAGCTTCCCTGCTTACAGATTGTGAACAACTTAAGGGCAATTGCTAAGTTATCACTTACTTCAAGTTCACTAATCTTAAGTGTATGTACGTTGTTGTTGTCGTTATGTGCCGTCCAGTCAGACCCGACTCATAGCAAGCCCTTCTTGGGTTTCTGAGGCGGTATCACTATGGAAGTAGATTGCCCAACCTTCCTCCTGAGGAATGGCTGGTGGCTTTGAACCACCAGCATTCTGGTTAGCAGCCAAGTGCCTTAGGCACTACACTATCAGAGCTTCTGTACAGCTCTATGAAATTTAACATTTGTAAATATTCACACAACTACCACTTGGATCAACATTTGCAGCAGTTTCGAAGGCTCCTCTGGTCCCCTGGCCATTGACCTGACTGACTGGTAGGGGAGCTGACCTTCCTGCTGGAGTGCTGAGTAAACCTGTCCTGCAGGTACTTGTCAGCATGTCTGAGGGACTGAGACTGGGACATTCCAATCCCAACCTTAGGAGAGCAGGATATATGACTGGTTTTGTGACATCTTCCTAAAGAAGTGTCTGACGTGTGGCAGAATTCAGAGCGCATCTTGCTTTCATTTTAACAAACTACCTGGTAGGGAGGTTTGGGTGGAGAGAAGTTGACTCTCCCCTTTCTCTAAGTCACAGGAGGCCACCAAACCTGACGTTTGTGAAAGGCCAGAAGCACTGAGCTGAGTTCAAAAACTTCTTCTTGAACCACTGAAATGAGCTGAGTCCTCCCTCTCCTAGCATTGCCGCCCACCTCTGAGAAGCTGAGGGTCAGGTCAGGGTGAAACAGTTTTAATTAAAAGTCAAATGGGCATAAAGCCATTCTGGGTCTTCCATTAGCATAAAGAGAGCTGTGAATTGTAACAAAAATTGGGAAGAATAAATGAACATTGATTGCCCAGTATTCTGGCAACAGAGGCTGACTTTCAGACTTATTTTAGAAAAAGTTTTTAGTAGAAAAGAATACATGATCTGGGAAAAGGTACAAAGGAAACATGTACACACCAAGCATGTGCCTCAGAGGGGTCCAACCTAGGTTTAACTGGTGTTCCTCATTACAAATTCTGTAAACCTTGACAATTGTGTCAACTTTTCTGATACTCAGTTTTGTATGTACAAAACAGGGAATAAATACCTGCCCCTTAGT